TGTGGTAGATGATTGAAAGAATTTATGTGATGTTGTTGTTATGATAGTAAAGAAAGTCCTATGTATTGAAAAACTGTGTTTTATTGAAGTGATTATGATTTCATGAGCTAATTGAACATATATTCTGCTCTGTTGTAGAATAGAGATAAAGTGATGATGCAGTTAGCAGGAACTTCTGTTGTTAGTTAAAGAGGCCAGGGCAATTTATACTATCTTGATTTGGTTTCTTGATGAATTTGCTTGTGTTACTACTAGGAAAAAAGTACAAAAAATGAGTTTAAAATTTTTGTTATGGCTCTTAAGTTATAAACCATGGTTACTTCAAACGTAGAACTTATGTTTTTTTGTTCACGCTGTTTTGAGGATTGGCTAAGAACACTGTATGCATACAATGTCCAACAGCTATAGGAAGCTGTGGAGTTAAGGAAGCAACCTTGTAATTGAGAAACAAGGTTTAAATGACTATCTGTATCGAGAACAGTAAGTTGGGCATAAATTTTGTTAAAACTTGAGTGCTATGAATTTTCCTTTATTCTTGGACATTGCATATTGTTACCATAGAACACATGTGTCAGACTATATAACCTAGTGTTTGATTTTGCCTAAATGTTTCCTTCAAAATGCACTGTCTAATAAGAATGTAAAGTATAATATTTGTACTTATTTTCTCCCGATATAAAGTATATTCTATGTGGGACATAGAATAAAAACTGACTTATTAAAGAGTGACAAGTTTTATGAGTATAAGTTTAAAGGTTTATTATGAATAAGTAAATTTAATATGGGATGCTATTTCACTTGGATCATTTGGCCAAAGCCATTCCCAAAGGCTTGTGTGATATTTTGTTGGGGTACAAGAGGGAACTAGTTTAATGCAGTTAAGTTTTGGGACAGTTAGTTGTGGTGTCTTGGGTTTGGGATGTAAGATTCAGGGGTTATTGCTTACATTATGGTGAAACGTTGGACAAGTAAGGTACAATCAACTTGGTTAAAATGTGTCAATGTTGGCCCTTTAAATTGAAAATGCAATTGGGTGTAAAAAGTTTTCTTTTTGTTGTGTTAAGAAGGGATGAATCCCTTTTTGCTTCTGCTTGTAATATATTTTGATATAACTTCATTGTTGTTCAAAGTTGCACACTGTCCATTTATATTTCTCAGAGGATCACATGTGTAAGTCATCATGTGTAAGTCATCTAACTAAATGGAGATATCGTTTCTGTAGAAATGTAGTTTGGAAAATTTGTTGTCCTAATGCCATTGTTTATATGTAGTAGCTGTAAATATATTTAGTGATTGTGTTTAGGGTTATAGTCTATGCATTTATCCCTTATAAATTATGCACGAGGCTTTTACTCCATAATGTTGTTCTTTGAAGATTTGTTCTGGTAAGGTTTGAATATTTTCCCGCATGCTACAACTAGTGGGTTATTTGTCATAATTGAAGGGTTATTGGGTTGCGGGATTTTGTCAAGTTGGCATTAGTAATAGTTTACCTACCCAACTTTGGGCCCTAAGGAATGTCTCCGTTCTGCTCTAGCTAATTGTTTCAGTCGCTTGAAGATTGAAACTGACTCTAGTATTGCCTTCCAACTCATTTCTAGTGCTCCCTTTCCTAAGCATTCTCTATCTTCTCTTCCTATGGATTGTAGGGAATTGATGTAGCAACTCCCTCATGTTGATATTAATCATATAGTCCATCAATGCAACATGGGGATTGATGCAATGGCCAGGCTGGGACTTGATCTTCATGAAGATTTTTTGATTTTCTCTCAGTCCCAATGCACTGATACTGTTTTGTATTCTGGACATGATGGGGTTTGAATTCCGCAGACATTAGTTGTATGTTGTTTTTGGATTTTAATGCATCTCTTATTTTACCCAAAAACAAAAATGTTTGCATATTTTCCCTCCTCGAGAGGCATGGGTGCAGCAGTCTTATGTTCGGTCAAAGATTGACAATGTCTTCAGCCTTATATCTTTGACTGTCCCTTATATAAGGATACAGAAGTTCTAGTGTCTCATGAGTTGTTAATGGTTTAAGGTCCCATAAACATTATGTATTGTTGTTGAAAACTGTGTATCCATCTCATCCTCATGAGATATTCCTTTTGAAAATAGGTAAGGTTAAATACCCTTTTTGGTCCCTCTACTATAGGAAAAAGCCATTTTTTAGTCCCTATACCGAAAATATCCCTTTTTTGGTCCTTACTGTTCACAAATCTGGCCCATTTTTAGTCATTCCGTTAAATTTTGGCTGATGTAGCAGGTTAATTAACGAAAAATTTTACTTTTTGTTCTTTACTTAAATGACGTGTGAAATCCATCTGGCAAAACCCAATGACATGGCCAAATTTTTTATCTTTAATTACCAATTTACCCTCATTTTCTTCTCCCATCTTCTCCTTCATTCAGCCTTTTTTCTCTTTTTTTTTTTTTTTCTTTTTTTTCTTACCTTTAGGCGAACAAACCCACGAGCAGGTTCATCGTGACGAACCCAGCGTGGATTAGCAAGGAACCCAGGAGCATAGGTTCCTCGCGATGAACCCAGCTCTTGGGTTCGTCACAAACCCACGAGCAGGGTTCATCGCGACGAACCCAGCGTGGATTCGCGACGAACCCAGGAGCCTAGGTTC